TACAAGAATAATGGTTCGGTATGATTTAAGATCCGTGAGGACAACATCCAAAGACTGAAAGAATTTTGAAGGATCAACAAAAGCGTGTGGTCTATATATAGCAACAATAGCCAGATCTCATCATCATCATCATTACAGCCCTTCACAAGTCCACTGCTGAACATAGGCCTCCCCCAAAGAATGCCACAAAGCACGGTCCTGAGCCACCTGCATCCATCGACTTCCTGCATGTCTTACCAGGTCGTCACTCCATCTCGTGGGGGGACGCCCTACACTTCGCCTACCGGTACGAGGCTGCCACTCGAGAACCTTTCTTCCCCATCGGTTGTCGGTTCTTCGAGCTATATGGCCGGCCCACTGCCACTTCAGCTTACTAATCCGTTGGGCTATGTCGGTTACTCTGGTTCTACTGCGGATATCCTCATTCCTAAGTTTATCACGCAGAGAAACTCCGAGCATAGCCCTCTCCATAGCTCGCTGAGCGACCTTGAGCTTCCTCATACGGCCAGCAGTGAAGGACCACGTCTCAGTTCCATAAGTCATCACTGGCAACACGCACTGGTTGTACAATTTCGTTTTCAGGTTTTGAGGTATGTCTGACGAGAAGATGTGTCGTAGCTTCCCGAACGCTGCCCAGCCGAGTTGAATCCGTCGATTGACCTCTCGGTCGAAGTTGGACTTACCTAGTCGAACTATTTGTCCCAGGTAAACATACTCGTCAACAACTTCGAGCTTAGTGCTCCCAACAACTACCGGCATAGGTGTGACATGGACATTGAACATGATCTTTGTTTTATCCATGTTCATCTTAAGACCTATCCGTTGGGAAACACTATCAAGGTCATTGAGCATAGTGCTTAGGTCCTCCAGCGATTCTGCCATAAGGACTATATCGTCGGCAAATCGAAGGTGAGTGATGTACTCGCCATTGATGTTGATACCGTATCCTTTCCAGTCCAGAAGCTTGAAAACGTCTTCCAATGCAGCGGTGAAGAGTTTCGGGGATATGACAGATCTACACCTATAGTAATCACCAGACAGTTACATTCAATTGTTATAGGTTCTTTTACTTTAATATTAGCTAAACAAGACTTGATGTATACAATAACACCGTCATTTTTATTGTAGTTTTTTGAAGTTTTATAATGATTGTATCCATTAAGAATCGGAATTATAGGATTACAAGATAGCCAGCATTTAGAGAGAACGATAACGTCGCAGCTATAATTAATTCTTTCTAACAACTATTTGTTGTATGTAGTTGATGCTACGAATATTTTGAGACAAAACAGTGAGACAACTATGATAAGACGTAAGCAAATCAGCACATTTTTCGGGATCACATAATATTGCTTCATTAAAGGAAGTATTATCAAGATTAATTAATATGGTATGATCAAATTAATATGGGACCACATGAAAAGCACTAGCTTTAAAATAAAAAAGAATCATAGAAATTGGTTCACCCAGAAAAAAGTTGTGAGGAAAAAATACATACAGTCAAATTGAGTACCGTCTCCTTTTCAAATCGGTAGAAAAATGAGAAAATTCACTTCTGCTGCACTGTTTTATTACGGCTATTGACTTGTTTACATGTGTGTGACGTTATATCAGCGTTTTTGAAATTAAAACTATAACTTTGATTTTTATTGTTAAAACAGTAGATCTCCCGGAAATATCAATGTAGGTAGTGTTTTATTACGTAAAAAAGAATCATTTAAAATGGTTTTCCAAAATTATTAGTCAAATAGCCTATTGACAGTGATATATTCACACAATGAATCCACGACTTTTTTTGACACCAGGATTATGCCACTTAGGAATGAGGTGAAATATTTTACAGTTTAAATGGCGCTGAAGTTTATTTATTAGGTAAATGTAAGAGTTAATGTTTCTTTATGTGATAACGATTATATTTTATTTTACAATTTAAAACAAACGTCTGTATATACGATCCATGAGCAATGCATCCTGCAATAGCAAATCACGCACTTAATAAATAATAAGTGTAATTTTTTACTTTACCCTCATATTTATTATTGTCGGCGATACCGGTACACGGTAAAGTTTCTATAAACTTATGATTGTACCGTATGGTAATGTGCAATTAATAAAGGTAACGTATGAAATAAAAAACTATGGTCTGTTCCTAAAAGAAGAAAAATTAAGTAACGAGATAAAAATGTGAAAATATTAAGGAGCAAACCATTAAGGCGCAGGTTGAGCAAAATGTCGCGCTAGTCGTTATTTGTGCTGTTTTTAGGAGCTATCTACTTTTTATTTAAAAGATATATTAACAAATAAAAAACACATTATATTTCTACATAATCTTGATTCCATAAAAGCTATATCCAATTTTTTTTAAAGGAATAAATATTAATATAATCTCCTTACAACGAAACCACATAAATGTGAAATTATTATTGATAACATGCATCTCCTCGTAAAGTAAGTATTATTTTATTTTGCGATTTACACCAATGGATAGGCAATTTATTAATGAACATTTCTATAGTAAAATTTTTTTCAAAAGACCAAAATTTGATTTTATTAAGAAATTATTTTAAAATCTGGGCGTATTCACTGCTCACGGGCTTGCTGGAGTCAGTGAGCCCTGAGCTCTTCGACGTGGAACCCGTGTCGTTAGAGCGTCTGCCAGCGCCGTGTGCGCTCACGTCATCTTATCAGTCGATAATATTATAATATTATTACTTATTAGGTTATTTATAGGTAGTATTATCTGTTTCTTTTGGGTATAATTTTTCGTATTAGTTATACATATATTTGTTGTGTTTTTTACTGCGCGATGAAGCTTTTTGCGTGTATTTTCTTTGAAGTAAATGCAATTAAAAAAATGAAGCACCATTAGCATGTAAGGTTCGAATCCATAATTAAAATTTCGACAAATATTTATAATTTACACTATAAAAGGCTAATTCAATATTATCACCCAACCACAATATCTTATTATGTATAGCACTGCCTCGTTGGTCTAGTGGTTGTAGTAGTGCGACTGCAGATCATGAGGTCCCGGGTTCGAATCCTGGGTCGGGCCAAAAAGTCAGTTATGAGTTTTTCATTTATGTTCTAAGTTATAATTAGTATTACTAGGTTATAGTTTTTTGCTAAAATATAGTATATTATTTATTGCTTGTTTTTTCTTCTTTTTCAAAAAATAATTGAGTAAATAAGGTGTTCTATACTTATAATTCGGTAAAAAGTATCTAAGTAGGTACTAATATACCTACTTTTTACTATTAACTAAAAAAATTTAAAACTAAATTTAACTAAAAACACTAAACTGACCATTTATTTTTTAACTCAAAACAGGACATGGGTTTATTTATACTCTAAAAACTATAACTTTATACAATTAGTGTTCACTATAAAATTATATTCGGTATAGACGGTAATTATTAAATGCAACATATTTTTTTAAATTATTAATTACATTTGTCAGTGGATTAAATTTGCTTTAATAAAGTTGATGATGATTTTAAATAAAAATAAAATTCTGCTCAAGTTTTTTTATTGTTATCTTTGTTAACAACATCGCCTTTAGAACTCTGGAACCGTAAGTGTTTCTTTCAGACGTCCACAATTTATTCAAAATAAAAAAAATACTCTTTCTACCGGAGCATTCGTACCAGGTAGACATAAAATATATTCGATTAAAAAAAATTATGTTGAAGAATGTTGACTTTGAATACTTCCATCCTACGAGTTACGGGACAATTTTGTGTCCCGGAGCTTTGTTTGGGGACAATGGGACAGGTGACCGAGAAAAGGGACAGTCCCGTTCAAAACGGGACGTATGGTCACTTTAGCTATAACCCGGCGACGGCTCCGTGACGTAGTGGCTTAGCAATCAGTTGTTGCGCTGGGGGCCGCGGGTTCGAATCTCGCACGGAACAAATATTTGTATGGCCTACATATAATTGTTCTGGGTCTGGATGTTTGTCCTTGTGCAATTTATGTTTGTAAACTGCCTCCACGACACAGGAGAAAATCCTAGTGTGGGGGTAACGTTTTTTTACAATTGAAATTGAAAGATTGAACCCTTATACTTCTTGTTGATTTTTGTATTATTAGGTAGGTATATTACTTTTCAATACGTGACACGTAAAAATTAACAATAATCAAAAACACATCTCTGAAACATCCTATTTATTTATTTATTCTTTATTGCACCAAATATTTGTACAAAAGGCGAGCTATCTATTTATTTACCTATAGTGAATAGGTATCTTTTAAACTCACAATTTTCAATGCTTCATTTTTAATATATAATTAATTATAAAATTTCATAATTAGATAATATATGAAAATACATAATTCTAATATAATGCAACTAATATACCGAATAAAAAAATGTGTGTATTTCCATAAATTAGTTCATTGATGTTGAAAAAATAATACTACGTTCGTACGTACCTACAATAGGTGGTGGCGTCGTACATATTTCAAATAAGCAATATATTGAAGCGAGCGGCCTGCCGCCGGCAAAATGCTCAAGGTCGTTCGCATGGAGTAGCCCCTTAAGGCTTTGTTTTATCTGTTAATATAATAATCTAGAAACCGATATACCTACTTTTATTTAAAACGCAACTTCTCAACAATACGACATTGTGTAACAAAAACCTTCACCTCACTCCCAACTAGTGATATCTGGTGATCTGAAGATTATCAGCCTTAGGCAAAGAAACGTTAAACGACAAACGCCGAAACAAAGCCATCTACGTATCTTACTAGAGTTAAGTCGCATTGAGGGATTTTCATAATCTGTTTTGTCTATAGACAACTATTTATGACAGTTCAATTGTAAATGAGAACAATCGTAGACTGGTATACAGTAATCTGTGGAACAATCCAGTTTCTCTATGCCACAGACGCCAAATGTCGCCATCGATCAATGACGTTTTGTAAAGTTGAATTTATTGATATAAAGCGTTAATGTAAATAATAAACAATTCCAACATAAACGTCGGCTTCCAGTCGATATGTATGCCAAGGGCAAAGGCTCTACAGTGCCTTCGGACGCTCAAGCTCGCGAGAAGTTGGCACTTTATGTGTACGAGTACTTACTACACGTCGGGGCTCAGAAAGCGGCACAGACTTTCCTTTCGGAAATACGATGGGAGAAGAATATAACGCTTGGAGAACCACCTGGGTTCCTGCATTCGTGGTGGTGCGTGTTTTGGGATCTATATTGCGCAGCGCCCGAGAGACGGGATTCATGTGAGCACTCATCTGAAGCCAAAGCTTTCCACGACTATGGATTTGTCAACTCCGGCTATGGAGTTAATGGAATTGGACACAATGCCGGCCCAGCGCCTCCCAATGACGGTACGATGCGTATATCTATATACAATTATAGGAAAACTGTACTTTTAGACTATAGTAATCTGTTTTCTAGGCCACAACATTTCTTATCTTACTATGCAAATAGTCATCGATTGAAGTCTTACAACACAAATTTTAACAATGTAATCTTGATGATTATGTACTACTCTGCTGCTATAGCTATGTGGCTTATACTAAAAAATAAGAAAGGTCACTGGTTGGTAGGGACTAGTTAGAGACTAGGAATAAGTGTCATCATAGAAATTAATAATGTGATAGATGTTTTCTTTCACCACCAAGCATGTGGTAAATCAGCATTTAAAATTGAAATTAACTATTTCATTGGTGCCGGAGGGGATTGAACCCCGGGTGTCTCGTGTACTGTGAAATTTACAGCAAGGACTTAGCCCCTGAGCTTAGTAGCTCAGGCTATGATGTTTACTTTATTACAAAATATAGCTTATAAATAGTGTCTGGCTTAAACTAGACTTTGTTTTAATAAAGATGCTATGTATGGTAAAATTAAAATTTTTGTACAACCAACCTCAATATAAATAATTTTTTGCTGATTTTTTAAAAACTGCTTGACCGATTTCGATAAAATTTTAATGGGACCACTTGGGAAATATACCCTTTGAAACAGAAAAGAATTTTCCAAATCGGTTCAGGCGTCTTCAAGTAATTGGTGAACATACATAAAAAAATATTCTGACAAATTGGGAACCTCTTCTTTTTTGAAGTTGGTTGAAAATATAAAGTATGAAATTTGACAGCAAATACTTGATGATGAAGACTAATGTTCTGGCTAAGGGACTTCATATATAATAAATATTCTTTGATGTATAAGACTGTTACCAAAGTTCTACTATGTATGTTTATGTACGTGGTAGAGCCATGCTGCAGCAATATTATGATTGTAGCATAAATAAGTCGGCTTGATCGGAGTAGGACCACGCTCTCACAAAATACCAGTGTGAAATGGCAGCTTAACGCTGCTGTTTCGTAAATTAGTCTACTTGACTGGAGAACGACCACACTCCCACAGAATACCAGCGTAAAATAGCAACGTAATGCTGCCATGTTGCACATGGGAGTGTGGAGAACAGAAGACCCTTATTACTGGATATGAGGCATTCCATCTTAGTCCTCACGGGTGACAATGCATCTGCATTTTGATTTGTCATAGAGGATAAATGTAGATGTCTATGGGCCGCAGCAACCAGTTATCATTAGGTGGACTGTGTGCTTAGGGGTGATGATGCATCTGCATATTGATTCTTAATCAAGAATAAGTGTAGATGTGTATGATGTCTGACGTCTCTGTATCCACTTACCGTCAGATAGACTGTGTGCTCATTTGTCACTCTTACCATTACAGCCTATAAAAGTTTACTGCTGAACATAAGTCTCCGTCATAGTGTAGATGTCCCTGTATGTTGTCTGATGTCTCTGTATCCACTAACCATCAGGTAGACTGGGTGCTCATTGGTCACTCTTACCATTACAGCCTATAAAAGTTTCCTTCTGAACATAGGTCTCCCTCATAGATTGCCTCATAGGAAGGATTTTGCCTTAGTTGCCATGCTTGGCATGGTGTTTGGCAACTACAGTTTTTTATTATTTTGAGTCGTTATCAGGATGCTGTTGCTGCACATCTCCTGTTTCAGTAGTAGTAGCTCTAGTTAACTATACTATTCATTTCTCAGTGGGTCATATGCTCCTGGTAGATTATTTATTTATTTATTCTTTATTGCATTCCTTAATCTAAAAGAATACAAAGGGCGGACTTAATGCCTTGTGGCATTCTCTACCAGTCAACCCATGGAGTGGTGAGAATTTGAAGTAGGTGTAGCAATATAGAATAAAAACAAAATAGAAATTTGTAAATAATTACGTTATATATACAATAAACTATAAAAATATATCCTATTTATACATGTATACAAATATATACGTACATACATAAGCATACATATATTCATACCAACATACATATACAAATAATACATATAAATAACTATAAATATATATGTCTAAAATATAAATGATATGGATGATTCATCTAAGAAGCGTTGTCTTTAACAGATGATTACGCACCAACTTTTTAAAAGCAAACTTATTGGGAGCTTTTCTGATGTCGTCAGGCAAGGAGTTCCAAAGGCGTGCAGCCTGAACTGTAAAGGAGTTACCATAGAACTCGGTGAAGTGAACTGGAATACATATTTTATTGTTAGAAGACGAACGTAGAACCCTATCATGAGATGAGGAGAGATAGTGAAATTTACTCTTAAGATAAGAAGGCGAAAATGGGTCATTTAATATGGAAAAAAGAACAAGTAATATTTTGGAAATACGCCTCCGCCGGATTGTAAGCCAATTAAGCTTAGATCTATATTGCGAAATATGGTCATACTTACGAAGCCCGAAAATAAATCTTATACAGTTATTGAGAAGGCGTTCCAGCTTGTTCAGAAGATCCTGGGACAGATCCGGGTAACACACATCTGCATAATCAATTATGGGTAATATGAGTGATTGGACAAGCATGATCTTAGACTTTGTGGGGAGAAAATGTTTTAAACAATACAGAGTACGTAACGTAGCAGTGACTTTACGACTAACTTCATTAACCTGAGTTCTCCAATTCAGCGTCCTGTCAATGTGTAGGCCAAGATTTTTTACAGACTTACTGAACGGTATTGTAATCCCATTGTAGTAGATATTAGTAGTATGTCTGCAAGATTAATCTTGGCTAGCATCCTTGAGCTACCCACCAGTATAGCTTGGCATTTTGAAGGATTGACCAACACTCTATAACGAGTAGACCAATCCTTGATAGCTTGTAAGTTGTTATTTAATTTTTTAATCCCATTATGGATATCCCCAATTTCAGCTTGCACGTAGAGCTGAAGGTCATCGGCATACAGATGGTACGAGCAATCGAAGATGGAAGTAATAAAGTTTATGAAAATAGAAAAAAATTATAGGAGAAAGAATACCCCCTTGTGGTACACCAGCTTCCACATCAGCCCAAACTGAGGTTATTTGCCCCACACAGACTGACTGCTGTCGACCGCGAAGATAAGATGCAAACCATTCCAATGCTGTAGGGCCAAAATTTAGATGAGACAGTATGGAAACAAGGATTTCATGATCAACTGTGTTGAAAGCATTTGAGAAATCAACTAGTACCAGTACTGTTACCTTTTGTTCTTCCATACCGTTTCTAATGTCGTCTGTGACGTTAATTAAAGCAGTACTGGTACTATGACCAGGGCGAAACCCAGACTGATATATACTCAGTAGGTTATGTTTTGAAATGAATGTAGAAATTTACTTGTAAACACAGGATTCTAAAATTTTGGAAAGAAAGGGTAGAATGGATATAGGGCGAAAATGATTGGGAAGAATGGGAGAAGGAACTTTTGGAAGGGGCTTTATAAAAGCCCTTTTCCAAAGATTAGGGTACTGACCTGAATCAAGGGAAAAATTTATAACATGGGAAATTGCCGGAAGAAGGTGCTCTAGTATAAATACTACCATTTGTCTACTAATCTCATCATAACCCACCGCCTTGGACTGAATTGCTAAAATAGACTTTTTGACATCATCCTGCGAAACAGGAGAGAAATTAAAGGTAGGTATATTAGGAATTTGCACAGAAGTAATGGAAGCCACAGTTTGAGAGCGAATTGTAGGGTCCATTGCTGTTACAGAAGCGAAATGTTGGTTGATTTCATCAAGTGATAGAGAAGGACCACAATCCAATGTAGCTGGCCTGCAAATACCAGAAGATCTAAGAAATTTCCACACTTCGGCGGGAGAAGAGTTGTTAATACAATTATGGAAATATCGGCGTTTAGCTGCCCGTACCATTTGATTGCACCTATTCCTGGCTGCTTTAAAAGATGACCAATTTTCTTCATTACGTTCTCTCTGAAAACGAAGAAAAGCTCGATTACGTCTAGTCATTGCCATCCTTACGCCCTCTGTCATCCATGGGGCTGGAGGACGCTTCAATCTAACCTTGTGAACTGGGGCATGAGCATCATAAAGGCTGAGAATATTTTGGTTAAGGATAGAGACTTTATCGTCAACAGTAGGTGCTGCAATAAATGAGGTTAGATCGAAACTAAGAACGTCATCCCTTAGCTTGTCAAAATCTGTTTTAGAAAAACTGCGCAGATGCAGTACAGAAGGGGAATATTTGGGAGGTTTAAGCTTATACGAAGAATAAATCAAGTCATGACGTGAGATGCCCAAAGCAGGTAACTGTCTGTGCATCATCACACGATCAGGAGAAGCAGCAAAGATGAGATCAATCAATGAGTCATCGGTTCCAATATTGTGATGAGTAGCCTTTAAAGGGAGAATAGAAAGATTAACCGACTCAACAATTGAAAGAAGTTTTTTGGAACGAGGAGAGTTTTTCAACAAATCTGTATTGAAGTCACCCATGATTATACAGTGTGCGTACTCAGAACAAATATCAACAAGAGCCATATCCAAAGTGGCGAAGTAATCTGTCGAAGGGGGGCAATACACTACCCCTAGAAGCATCCTTATACCCTTGACATCAAGTTCCAAAAATAAAAACTCAGAAGAGGCAGAGTAACAGGAAGGAGATGCTAAAACAATTTTATGAGGAATTGATGCGTGTAGGTAAATGGCTACACCACCTCCACCTTTTCCAACGCGATCATTCCTAACAAGTACAAAGCCGGGTAGGGGATATAAAGTTGACGGTAAAGAAGGCTTTAGCCAACTTTCCGACACTAATATGGCATGAATATGCTCGGGTGAAAATGAAGCTTCGAGTTCGGTGTAGTGGCTCGGGATACTTCGAGCGTTTATGTGACACATGTTTAGAGAGTTGTTAAAAGGCTTAAAAACTTCTTTGAGTAGTTGGTGTAAATCAAGCGCACTGTCGGTAAAGGAATCATCACAAGAGTAAAATGATATGGCAGAAGAATCATTTGCAGAGCTAAACGACTCAAAATCAG